CTTATAGGTCTTATAGTTTTCAGTAAATAGATCTCCCACATCTTTTGTCAGCTCTAACACCATGTATATTATTAATATTTTAAATGATATTGTCAATAAGTTTTTAAATTTCAATTTAAAAATTTATCCATTTTCTGATTGCTAATTGATGAATGTAAACATTCAATTTATAGCCGGTTGTGGTGGTGCATGCCTGTAATCCCAGCACTTGGGAGGGAGGCTGATGCAGGAGGATCGCTATGAGTTTGAGACCAGCCTGGGCTACATAGTTCCAGGTCCATCTCAACTACATAGTGAGACCCTGACTCAGAAAACAAAAAGCAAAACAAAAAAAAAGGAAACATTCAATTTATATTTTTATATTGTTTTTTTCTTCTACCTTGGTAAATTCAATAGTCAGTGGCTTCTTTGTTTATTTTTTTTAAATTTATTTAAACAAGTGTCATCTCCAAAGTTTTGTTACAGAAAGTTTTATTCTGGATAACTTTTCTTTTACTGCTCAATCACATTGGCTACAGCCTCCAATACAGTATTAAATACAAGCAGAGAGATATTATACAGATGGTTAGTATTTCATATTAGATATAATTTTAGCTGTATGGTTTTCCTAGACCATCCTGCATCAGGATGATGAAGTTGAAGTTTCTGCTCCCTGCTCAGGGTTTATTATTTTTTAATCAGGAAAGGATATTGGATTTTGTCAACTGTCTCTTCTGCATCTGTTCGTGTATTTGACTTTTTCAGTTTGTTAATGATAAATTGCATCGATTGCCTTCAGACTATTATACCAGCTATGGATTCTTCTTTGTTTCTTTGGAATAGGGTCTCAATGTATAGTTCAGGCTGGCCGTGCACTTATTATGTTGGCCAGGCTGGCTATGTTCACAGCGATCCTCCTGCCTCATCCTCCCAAATGCTGGGATACCAGGTGTGCACCACCATGCCCAGCTTGAATTTATTCATTTTGCCATTGGTTGTCTGTTTTCTATTTCACTAATTACCACTCTGATACTTGCAATTTCTCATTTCTTTTGCTTTATTTGTTCTTGGAAGCTGACATCATTAGAGATCATTCTTCTTTTCTGTATTTTTTTTTTTTTTTTGTACTGGGGATTGAACTCAGGACCTTGTGCTTGTCAGGCAGATGCAGCAACACGGAGCTACATTCCGGGCCCTCTTCTAATATAGGTGGTTACTGCAAATTTCCTTTTAGGTACTACTTTTACAGCATCCCACCAAGCCCAGTGCCTTCACCCTGAGCTACATTCCCATCCTCTTCTTTTTTATTTTGAGATGGAGTCTCCCTGAGTTGCCCAGGCAGGGCTCCAACCTGTGATTTTGCCTCGGCCTCCAAGAGTGCTGAGATTACAGGCGAGCAGCATCATTCTCAGCTCTCAGAAATTCTGATAAGATTGTTTCATTTCTCTTCAGTTCAAAATACTTTCTAAGCTCCATTTATGCATGTATCTATTTACTTAAAACGGTGTCTTGCTATGCAGTTTAGCTGGCCTTGAACTGTCTATGTAACCCAGGCCGGCCTAGAACTCTTGGCGATCCTCCTGCCTCGCCTGAGATTCCAGGCATGCACCACCACGCCCTGCTCTAAGCTCCATTTTAGATGGTTTATTAGAAAACATGGGTATCTTAAAAGTTTGGTGTTCTGACAGCTGAATACCTGTCATTCAGTATGAAGGCCTAATAGGGCGTTTGTACGTGAAACAGTACTGCATACTGAGGTACAGTGCTTCTGTTGGGCAAAAGCATTTGCATGATTGAGTCATGAGCTGAGCAGTTCCTTTAACCTCATCTCACAGATTTGGGCATTTTCTAAAACTGAACCAAGTAAGCCTATCCCTTAAGAACAGCAACTGGCAGTGTGTTGTTGATAATAATAATAAAATTTGACAAGGATAAAAGTTAAAAATTTTTTTTGGAAAATTGTGTATCTCCCATGAGCTTGATAGATTCCCATGCTTACTGACTCCTAAGAAACAGAAATACTAAGATCATCCAAGTGCACTAGGACTTTTAACCCAAGTACTCTAGAAGGGTGAACAAGAGGATCTGAGGTCAAGGCTAGCCTTACTGAGACCTTGTCTCCAAAAATAAAACGGGGACAGGAATTTAAGCTCAGTGGCACTGTGCCTGCCTTGGAAGCCGAAGGTCCTGAGTTCAATCCCTGGTACCAAAAAAAGTAATAATAATAATAATAAAAAAAAAAACAGGGCTGTGGATACAGCCCAGTTTGAAGGCCCTAGGTTCAATCCCTAGTACCTGAAAAAAAAAAACCAAAAAACCTGAGATGGCACATGTACACATACATATATCTGACTTTATATAATGAAAATGAGAGCCATTCTGAGGTGAGTTTACTCGCTCTTGACCTTCTGCCAAAAGGACACCACAAGAAAGTCCCCACCACATGGCAGTGCCTTCATCTTAGACTTCCCAGTCCCCAGAACAGTGAAAAATAAGTATCTATTCTTTGTAGAATTACCAAGGCTCATGCACTTTGTTGTACCAGCACAAAATGAACTAAAACAACACTTTCTCTCTCTCTGTGTCTCTCTCTGTCTGTCTCTGTCTCTCTCTGTCTCTCTCTGTCTCTGTCTCTCTCTCTCTCTCTCCTTTTGGCTTCAACAATATTCCTCTATTTTAATTACGGACAGGAAAAGTAGCAGTCAGATATTTGATGCGCAGTAAGTGTGTTCTCATGGATTGCAAACTGGTCTCAGAGAAGAGGGAGAGAAGATGAAGACAAACACCCTTCACTGGTGTAGCATCTTCAAATGTGGGGGTCCACAGGTGCTCCGAGAAGGGGGCATCTGAGCACTGGTATGATGTGTGTCCACATCAGTATTTCTGTATTAAGAAAACATTCACAGGAATGATAAAGCCCAAATGTGGGGTATTGCTTCTAGGATCCAGGAGGACGTCGACTAAACGTGTAATTAATTGTTTCTTGAGGTGGATAGTTAACTGTACCTTTCTTCTTCTGTTATCTGAAATGGGTCTTAAAAATAGTTCACACCCAAAAGAATAAAAGAACCTGCTTCTGCCTGTCTTATTAGGGAACACTTACAAATGTTATTTTTGTTTAACCTTGCATTTGCGGGGCGGGGGTTTGAGACAGGGTCTCACTATGTAGTTGAGACTGACCTGGAACCCGCTGTATAGCCCAGGCTGGTCTCAAATTCACAGCGATCCTCCTGCCTCAGCCTCCCAAGTGCTGGGATTACAGGCATGCGTCACCATGCCCGGCTAGCATTACATTTTGATGGTGCTGCACCCTCTTGTGACTTCTGGACTTCTCTAACTAGGCTGCTTCCTCTCTCTCTCTCTCTCTCTCTCTCTCTCTCTCTCTCTCTTAGTACTAGGGATCAAACTCAGGACCTTGTGCTTGCGAGGCAGGCGGCAGTACCACTGAGCTATTTCTAGAGAAAATGTACAGCCAAAATTCTTGTCAAGGGCTGGGGATGTAACTCAGTGGTGCTGCCGCCTGCCTCGCAAGTGGAAGGTCTCAAGTTTGATCCCCAGTATCAAAAAGAACAAAAAAGAAAAACAAAGTTGTCATCAGACTCACATCTTCCTGGCTCGACCATGAGAGTGCTGGGATTCTGGGTGAATGCCACCACACCCGCATTGCCCTTGAGTACGGTACGCCCACACCCAGATGCTGAGCCAACATCGTGGCTTCTCTTTGAATCTATCCTACTGTTCTGTGTTCCTAGCTCCATCTTCTCCTCCTCACCTATATTTTCTCATTATTCTGTAAGTACCCTTTAGCCACATGCCACTTTCTGTTCTTGAGCTAAGTTTATGCCCATTTTAGGGCCGGGTTTCCCAACTTAATATTCACTTTGGCCTCTGCCTGGAATGTTTTCTTCCCCACTGTAGCCTTTATTTTATCATTCAAGCCTAACCCTCATTTTTGCCTCAATTTCTCTTTTTGGTGTCAGGGATTGAACTTGGGTCCTTGTGCTTTCAAGGCAGGCGGTGTCACCACTAGGCTAAATCCCCAGCCTCTCACTCAATTTCTGTAACATTATCAGCCTGCTTAATTTTTTTTAAATCATACATTTATTTGTTTTTATTTTTTGGTTCTGGGGATCAAACTCAGGACCTTACACTTTTGAAGCAGGCAGCAGAACCACTGGGCTAAATCCCCGGCTCTTCATTTTAATTATTTAATTATTTATTTTTGGTATCAGGGATCAAACCCAGGATCTTACGCTTTTGAGGCAGGTGTGGTGACACTGACCTAAATCCCCAATCCCTTAAATTTCTTCATAGCAGCCAGGAATTTAGCTCAGTGGTGCTGCTGCCTGCCTTGCAAGCACAAGGACCTGAGTTTGATCCCCAGTACCAAAAAAAAAAAAAAAAAAAAAAAAAACCT